GTATTTTATGATTACTAAATGTAATCTGATTCTTTAAATCTTTCATATAAAAAAAATGGAATATAATTATCTACATTTTTAATTTCTGCAATTTTTTTTGCTGTGGGAATTATCGGGGTCATGAAGATCATGGAACACGGGGCGCGGCGCTCTGCAGGCGTGCGGAAACATGTGCCGCAAAAAAGGTTAGGTAACCCATATGTATATTAATTACCATGTGTATATACACATGTATTATGTATGCATGTATGCACGTATGTATGTATGCACGTATGTATGTATGTATGTATGTATGTATATACACATGTATGTACATGTGTGTATATATACATGTATTACACCATGTGTATTAATTATCAATTACTTATTGTTAGTAAGAAAGAAGTTTATTTTATTTAATTAATGAAAATTGTGAAACAGTAATAATTTGAAAGTGTAATGAGCCTACAATTTATGTTTTTACAAAATAGAGTGTAAAGAAAAAATTACTTAATTAGTCGTTTTTTATTGTTCGAATAATAAATGTTGAAAATGTTATTATAATTAAAAAATAGTTTAATATACGAATTTTTTCACATAATTGATTTATAAAAAATGATTTTCATGATCTGCAACTGAAATGCCTAATCAAAATAGACGTCATGATTTAATCCTGATTACCATGACCTGCACCCTGATCGCTTTGACCCCTCACAGATGGACCATACCGATCAAAAATACTATATATTTTCACACTGATAAATAAAAATTTAATGGATCTAATAATTATTTTAATGATTTTCTTTAAAGCTATTAGGTGTACAACTTTGCTTCCGCCGTTTTCCTGTAAATGACTTTAGCGGTAAGTGGTGGTCGAAATAAATAGATCATAGACGTCATATAATAAACTTGGGCATCTGTCAACCCCATAGAAACATTAGTCGATTTGTGTCTGCATCATAAAGTTATTCTCGATTGAAAATGTCAGTTTACGAGCCAAATTTTCGTCATTTGCGGGAGGTTTTAATTTTCTGTTTCAATATGAAGAAATCTGCGGCTGAGCCTCATCGAATGCTCTCAGATATTTATGGTGAAGCCGCTATTAGTGAAAGAACGTGTCGTGAGTGGTTTCAACGCTTCAAGAACGGTGATTTTGACGTCGAAGACCTTCGGTTTGGCCGTCGACGTGGAAGCATGGCCGGCACCCAATTTCCATAGCATAGTGGTGGAATAAAGAAGGTTTTCGAAGATGCAGAATTGGAGGCATTACTTGATCAAGACTCGTGTCAAAATCAAGAAGAATTTCGATCATTGGGACTGACTCAACAAGCCATTTCAAAACGCCTCAAAGCCATGGGAATGATTCAGAAGCAAGGAAATTGGGTGCCGTACGAGTTGAAGTCGAGAGATGTTGAACGGCGTTTGTTTGCTTGTGAACAGCTGCTTGAAAGGCAAAGACGGAAGGGATTTCTGCATTGCATTGTGACTGGGGATGAAAAATCATTACGATAATCCCAAGCGTAGAAAATCATGGGGAGTTCCCGGCCATGCTTCCACGTCGATAGCCAAACCGAATATTGATCCAAGGTTATGCTCTGTATTTGGTGAGACCAGCTCGGCGTAGTGTATTATGAGCTGTTAGAACCGACTGAAACAATCACAGGCGATCGATATCGAACGCAATTGATGCGTTTGAGCCGAGCATTGAAAGATAAACGGCCGCAATACAACGAGAGACACGATAAAGTGATTTTGCAGCATGACAATGCTCGACCCCATGTTGCGAAAGTGGTGAAGACATACTTGGAAACTTTGAAATGGGAAGTCCTACCCCACCCGCCGTATTCTCCAGACGTTGCTCCCTCTGACTATCACTTATTTCGATCAATGGCACACGACCTGGCTGACCAGCACTTTCGGTCTTATGAAGAAGTAAAAAATTGGATCGATTCGTGGATCACCTCAAAAGATGACCAGTTTTTTCGACGCGGGATTCGCACGCTGCCCGAAAGATGGGAGAAAGTAGTGGCCAGCGATGGACAGTATTTTGAATCATAAATGTATAACCAGTTTTTTACAATAAAGCCTCGAATTTCGGAAAAAAAACGGCGGAAGCAAAATTGTACACCTAATATATTGTTACGTCCGGGCTTCCGAGCCGCGGAGACGCCCTCGCGAACGCGTTCACGCACTCCCAGCTAGCAGAAATGAACAACACGAGTATGTAGAAAAGAACGAGAAGAGTTTATTATACAATGAACGCAGAAGAAGCACACACGTCCAGCTCAGAGCACACGATTGAGAAGAGGGTTAGCGGAGAGACACGTCCGAGCGCAACGACGACTCACGTCCAAATCTGCCGATCTTGTTTAACAACAGAGGCACGTGTCGCGGGGTAACGCGACCTTCAGTACTTTACGAGTGGCCATCTATGGTGTCGGCACGGCATGGGCGTAACATATTATTACAGCAATATATGAACAGCAACCAACAGTTCGTCTGCCATTAGCACATTCACATGTGTAATGAGTCACACCGGAAATATCAATACTGTTTTGTTTATACCTCAAAAAACATCCGTGTGTTTTACGAGAAATATGTCGGGATGGAACTTTTAGTTTAAGGGCATTTTTCTCGTCCTTAACATATTCTATGTACCATTTTTATCTACCATTTCTGCCAAATATGACACGGCTTGTAAAAGTTGAATCGGTAAATAAAATTTTCATGTCTTTTTCGGTCATTTCAGGAAAATCCAAAAGATTGTCAGATGTAATATTTTTAAAAAGAAGTTTACGGCAAAATCCTTTTTCTTTTACATCAATAGCCAACGTATTTTCCATATTATCTTTTTGATCATGCATATTCTATACAATTTCATAGTTTCTATATCAGATTGAAACCTTTTTCCAAAAGTATTGTTCAGAAATGATGCAATTCTAAAATAAACCCCAATTTTTGTTATTAATTTATTGTTAATTTTGTCGTCCAGAAGACGATACTTTTGTTTTAGCGCTGCATGAACAGATTCAACTACCCAACGAATTTTAATAATAAATCGAGACAGATTGGATTCTTTTGTTGATAATTGCTTTCTTTCTCCTTTCAATGCTGGCATTAAAACTGTAAATGTTTTTCTCTAAATCATCTGCTATATCTCGAAAACCGCGATCAAGGACAAAAGTATCACCTTCTATTAACAACTTACACAAACCATTTGGATCCAGTGCTGCAGGTCGGGCCGCGTTTCTGGCGCATGCGCGTCGAACGCAGCGTCAGTATCGTACCCGTTACCAGTAAACGGGAGTTCATTAGTCGCCTACATAAAATTTGTTAAAAATTCTTAAAAATTATAGTGTATATTTTATATATTTTACATATATTACTCACCAACAAATTCAAATATATTAAAAATATGACAATTTGCATTTAATAATAAAATATTAGCTGAAGAATAAGAGAAAAGTGTAAAATAATTTATGAAACAGTTTTTTTACATTAAAATATTTTATTTGGTAGAATCTCGTATCAACATTTGTTACAAGGGTAAGAGAAACTGCCAACAATCTTACAAGTATTCGTAAAATAAATAGATGTTTCTTTTTTTTTATAGATGTTTCTTTTTTCTTTTTTAGCTTTCTTTTGTTTATATATTTATTTTATGAATTTGTAAGATTTTTGACAATTTTTCTTACCCTTGTAACAAATGTTGGTACGAAATTCTGCCAAATAAAATATTGTATAATAATATAAAAAAAATGTTTCAAAAATGATTTTACACTTTTCTCTTATTCTTCAGCTAATATTTTATTATTAAATGAAAATTCTCATATTTTTAATATATGTGAATTTATTTGTTTGACGTAGATCTGTAACGAAAGATCTGTCTAAAAACATTAGATAACCTTTAATGAGCACCAAATTAAATTAACTTATGTAATTAATGAAATATATTTTTATGCAATATATTCTTAAGAGACATGCTTTCAGTTTAACAGCTTACATATATCAGATATGTTACCATTCTTGTTAATTTAATTTGGTGCTCATTAAAGATTATCCAATGTTTCAAGACAAATCTTTGGTTTCGTTACGAATCTACGCCACGTTCAAATTTAGCAATTTGTATTGTGACTCAATCCTGACACACCGAGGATGAACGTATTTAATATCAATAATTGTATATGATTGCTGAAAATGACTCAAAATAGAGTCGAAACATTCAATTAATTATGGATGACATCAAGATAATACAATAAAATTATAAACAATATATTTATGACCGTATATTTGAGAAACTCAATTAATACTAGGGTGTAACGGCCTATTACGGTTGGAGCTGGATTTTCGTTGCTTTAAATAATTTAATCTTGAATTACTAATATATACTATATATGTACTTGCATATATACCATATTGTAGTCTTTTTCAAACTGCGCGCCGAATTTTTTCCGCACTAAATAAACGCAATTAAAACTACTCTAGTAATCGCGAATTAAATTGACAAACAATTTAATAATTTGATGCTACCATCAAGCATCATATATTATAAAGATGTTAATCTATAAAAACTATTAATAAATTTATTGCGAAAAATATTACCTCGGCCGGGACTTGAACCCGGATCTCTTGTAAACCGTACGAGCGTCCTGAGCCATTAGACTACCGAGGCATAAATAAAATTATAATATAAGTTTGTATATTACTGCGTTGCGCACCGTTAACCGCGCACAGTTAACCGCGTATTCTCATTAACCTTATTGATTCCTGTGTTTATTTTAATTGAATTATTTTGTTCAAAAATTTCTCATGTTTAACGTATTTGGAAATTTCAATAATTCGTCCGTACTCTATACTCCCTAAATACTTTGGAAAGATATTTCATTCTTTGAAGTGAAAATTGAGCTAGTCTTAGAAAGAAATAGCTCAAGTTTCGATTTCTAACAATGAGACTTTACTCTTCAGAGTTAACTGACACTTTGAAAGTTTTAGAGAGTATATTTTACTATTAAATCAATTACCTTAAATTTTTTTCCTTTTTATGAATAACTATACTACGTCCTAGTATACTCCTTGGGCCAAACAAAGGTAACATTGTGTCGTTGTACGTTACTGTATAGCGCTTTTTATTATTTAATGTGCCAAATTTTCCACTTAAATCACCCATCTTATATTGATCCAGTGTACCTTCTTCTGCAGCTGGAATATCGCTATTGACATCTAATGGATTCCAGGGTTCGTAGAGTGAGGTCTTTTCGCATGGAAATTCTAAACCGTATTCTACAGACGCCTGCAAATTATGCATAGTGATTTAACATATAATCTGTACATATGCATATGATTATACATTTATATTATACAAGGACGGGACACCCGAATATTTCGAAAAATATAATTTTGACAGAAAAATAATTTAGACAAAAATTGTAAGCTTCAAAGAGATCTGTTTACTAATCTTATCAATTTGACCTTGGGCGTTGCCAAGGTCAGGTCAAAGTCACACCGATTTTTTTTAATAGAACATCCTATTCTTGATTCTGGAATCTAATAGCTAATGTCTAGAGCTTTCCAAAACACTAAACAAAGTTATTTTTTATTGAGTACTTTTCGAGTTATAAGGCTCGAAGTTTACAGTCGAAGATAACATATTCGGCATTAGCATTACGCAAGGGGTTCAACGGCTAAAATCTTTTGAATGTTGTTCAAGATCATGTCCTAGATAATATTTGTCAAGGTCGAGGCCATTGGAGATTATTCTTCTTATTTTCATTTATGCACTGAAAATTCGTAAATTTACGTAAAAATGAAAATAAGAGGTAATGGAAAACAACCTCTAATGGCTTTGATCTTAAATGATATCCGAGACATAATCCTGAATAACACTCAAGAGCAGCCGGTTGGTCACCTTGGGTAATGCTAATGCCGGCTGTACTGTAACTTTCAAGTCTCATAACTCGAAAAATACTTAACGAAAAGATATTTTATTATAGTGTTTTGAAAAGTCCTCGAGATAAGCTACAAGAATATGCAATAAAAAAATGAGAGGTTTCATTTAAGAAAACAACGACAGTCACATTGACCTAATCATCAAAAGGTCATTTAAAGTCAAACCAATATTTTTATCATATGTCCCCCTTAATGTCCTGCAACTTTTGTCTGAGACATTTTTCCATATCTAAAGCCGTTTTCAAGATATATGATCTGGGTGGGACTTTATAGCACACACACACACACACACACACACACACACACACACACACCACAGACCCCACACACACGCGCGCGCGCGCGCGCGCGCACGCACACACACACCCCCCTGTATAATATTATATATACACTACGCAACAAAATTATCGCAACAAAATTTTTCATCGAAATTTTTCTATTTTTCAAATACGCATAACTCGGTCAATTTTCATCGTATCAAGACGATTCTTTTTTCATTTTGTAGATAATTATCTGTACCTTAAGAAAAACTGGATGCGAAATTAGGTGCAAGTCGATGCCGCATCTCCATGTTTTGATAAAGCACAAACATTTTTTTTATTAAAAAATTTGATTGTTTGACGCACTACCTGGATCGCCCCGATTTTTTTTCGAAAATACCACATAGACCATTGTAAAGTGCACTTTTCAACAAACAATTTGAAAAAAAATTCGAGTCT